AGAATCCCCTACTTGCCTTTGACTTCAAAAAAAAAAAAAAAAAAAAAAAATCAGTTTTCAGTTTTCTGATTAATAAATAAAGTGTTAGTAATATTAAATGAGTGTATGATTTAGCAATGTTCCCTCCTGATTCATGATGAGCATATTTTTAAGTGGTGGTCATGGCACACACTGGCAGGCCAATGTGTACAAGATAATTGCTGCAACACGCAATAGATGATGCAGGGGAGTGTCGATAACTAGGGCTACATAACTAAAAGCAAAATTTCGAACAATGGACACAAACAACTAAAACATGAATGGCACAAATAAGTAAAGGAACCATAATCAAAAGAAATGGTGCTTTGTGACATTTTAGAGGAAATAATCTAAGCCATGGACAGAAAATGACCAGCTGAAAGAGAATGATAAAACTAAAATAGGATGAAAACATAAAATGCATGGAAAATCAGAATTCCAAAAATGATTGGTAACATGATTTTAGCTTATCTGTTCCTGATATTTGCAAAGAAAATTGGTCTGACAAATTACATGCAAAAAAAAACATTGGTAATATAACCACAAAGCTATTGGCACACAGGTACTAGTTACTGCTGTCAATTGGTACATGCCACACAGTCAAAAAAAAGAAACGCAATAGTGATAAAAAACTGAACGTGTTTAAAAACAAAAGAAACATCATAGGACAATACGCATGATAATAAGCTAGAAGGCTAATGGGGGTTGTGAGCTGATGTGATAGTGATGCTAAAACAGAAACAATATATTTTTATGGTATGAAAGGACTGTACACGAAAACTCTGTAAATGCACACTGTACAAAAGATGAGACAAGAAAGGCTGGGGGAGAGGGGGCGGGGAGAATCATTTAGCAGCCCCCCAAAAATTCACCATAAATACAGTACCTCTATAAAGATACAGCAATTAGCCTGCCACTCTGACACTGACTGACTTTGTGATAAAACACACACACACACACAAATATGACGATCTCGGCCAATCCAATACTATCCTATAGGAATGCACTGGGAGGCTATTTCACATGCAA